GTACACACCTTAAATATGTTGTCTTAAATCGCCATTTTATTCATGAATTTATCGATGTAGTCAATACTTTGATGTGTTGTATATTGGAGAACTTCATCAAATAGTATCGTGTCTTTTTGCAAAACTAAAATACCGCTTTAATTATGAACTTATTAAATATAAAAGCAACCAATTGAATTTTAGAAAAGATAAACGGTTTGTCCTAGAAATTGTGTATCTGTATTTCTTATAATAGAATTATAAATTCATACGTTGAGAATAAAAAAAACAATTGTAGCTGAAGTTTCTCCGGACTGCCCATTAAATGTGTAATTGCAAAAACATTTTTACATGATAAAAAGGAATAACCATTTTTCACACATGCAATAAATCCTGTTACAATTTTTACTTGTTCTTCTTTGCGAATCTGAATTTTTATTGTACAAGTAAAGCAAGCAAGAAACGGTTTTGATGTTTAACCTTAAAGTTATCCTGTTAAATAAACTAATTTAATGTATATGTAAGCGTATATATATATATATTTGTAAAATTAAAAAAAACACTGTTAGAAATTTAAGACCAACGTCACACAACAGAAAGTAGAATGCTGTAAGACATAGGATGTAAAGACGTGCGAGTGATCTATTTTGAGAAGAGTTGCAGTTTCATATTACTGTGAATTACATATATGCACTGTAAATTACGATAATTGTATTAATTTCTATGTAAAAATTATCAATATTCTCTACTTTATATATTTATTTTTTCGGTTTATTTATTCAGGTTGCAAAGATTAGTAGATGCTGGAATCTACGAAAAGTTGCTGAAGGAGGCGAAACAAACCCCAGGAGTCAATTACGCTGGACTCCATCATCCTCTTTCTATTGACGATAGCATGAGTGCTTTCATTCTGTTAATTTCTGGCTATGTAATTTCTATCTTAATTTTCTTTGTTGAATTGCTAAGAAAACAACGAAATTTGGAATAAAGTTTATAAATACAGTAGAGCATCGATTATCTGACCCCACCAATTAACCGTCACATCGGTTAACCGACCGTTCTAGTTTGCAAATTCAAATGTCCGCTAGTGATGTGAAGCTACAATATTTGGCTATGTCTTGGCTACTTTAATAGTATTTTTACGTGTTTTAGCTGGCAACACTGGATCGACCATGAAAGGGAGCCAGTATTTAAACGAGGCTTAATTCTCTAATTTTTAACAATACAATAGCGACGATTATAATTTAAAAAAAAAATTTTGTTAGGCTTAACATCGATGAAACTTCAACGCGAAGTAGGTTAATAGCGATATATTAATATACTAATTACATGAGATATACTAATATACTATGCTAATAATGGATTTTTTCATATTTTTCGGTTATCCGACTTTTCAATTATCCGAGCAACTCGTTTTTGGATCTAAATTTGCCAACGTTTTCAAATATTCTTGTAGTCACTGAACAATTGCTATGAAATAAGTAAGTATTTCATATCATAAAGCTTGTCATTAAAACTATTAAAATGTATTTGCAATAGAGTAACTTAATACTGTTGTGACATTAACATTCGTATAGCATTAAGAGAGTTAAAAGTAACTAAAAGTGGAAAGATTATCCATTTTTCTAATACAGATTATTATCTCTTTATTTTTCACTCTGCGGGTACTTTGAAGATGTCACAAAAATAATTGTTCATTATATTTAAGTTTTTTCTTGAAGCAATTATCTTGTATTCTGTAAAAATATTTCATTAGAATTTAATAAAAACTATATTTATGCACGAATAACTGTAGTTATAAAATTTTTAGATAAGTTCATTTTAAAATACAGTCGACTTCCCCTATAACACTGTTGATTATTCCGTTTTATATGAATTCCATTATGTATGAGTCACTTAGAATTTATAAATACGTGTGCCGGATTGTGAACGGCACACGTATTTGTAAAATATAAGTGACTCGTACAACATGGAATTCGTATAAAACAGAACAATCAACAGTGTTATAGAGGGGTCGACTGTATTCTCTTTTAAAAATTTCATACTTAAAATTCAAATTTTGATTGTGGTTATATTTATAGGGAACCTGGTATTACATGGACATATAAAGTAATAAAATGTTAACTTAATGTATGTAATAGGCCACTGCTTAATTCTTTAAATGTAAGATTGTAGTTAATCGAACGATGTAAATGTTGAAATTAAATTATATGAAATGTTTTTAAACTAATTAACGTAATTCGAATTTCAAAAAATGCTGTCGATATGTTAGATTCATTGTATATGTGACAATAAAAGAAACTTAATTCTCGAAAGTGTAATTGTATAATCATGGTATTCAGCAATTTCAATGTGTCACTGCACGGTTATTGAATTTAATAGGCTTAGGAGAAATAAATATTGCGCATGTTTATAACACAAAATATATAATGTAATTAACATTGCAGGTGACTACGAATATCTCAAACTAAGATATTTGTGTTTCTGTAACATCATTTTGCGTTTCACAGTCATTTTCAATATTTATTTAGAAATGCTTTTTACTGTCCAAGAATTGTTAACTGAAAATTTGATCAAATTTAGTCAAACATTTTAATAGATAATTGACATGATTTTATTTGTGTCGTATAAAAATTGCAATTAAATATGTAATAGTTAGACAGGAAATTAGTTCATGTATTTGGAATAATTTTGACGTACAATAACTTTCCATTTACAAGAGAACGATTAAGTGAAAAATACTTTTTTTTATTATCTGGGATCATAATCAGTTCATTTAACAGATTGGGCTGTGAGGGCCTGATAGACCACCAAATCTTGAACTCCTTTACGTTACACAAAATAGCCATATGTCAGAATTTAGAGATTTTGAGTAAATAAAAATTACTGGTGTCACTCCGATGGTGTATTCGATCGCTGTCTTTATTAGTGGATTGGATTCTCAAATTTCATAATCTGATAATTGTGCCTAAATCACAACTAACTCTATTACTACAATTACTACAGTGGAAAATCTGAGCAGGTGCATACCATTTATGTATCAGTTGCTTGTTACCTGTGACATATTAATACTATTACTTCAAAGGCAAACCAACATCAAATCTTAACTGAATTTAAGGACAAAGACTAGAAATTGTTCGATGGATGTCCAGCCGCCATGGAAAGTTTACCGAAAACTAATAGTTTATGAAAGTTTCAGCCTCTTCATTCTTCACGTGAGCATCGCTATTGAACATTAGAATTACATTCACGAGTTTTCTACTTTCACGAATGCATGTTTTATAAGTTAGAAATTGATGGCCAGATATATATTTTACCTCAGGTTTATCATGCGATTCAATCTTCTTGTCAAAAAGTAATTAAAAAACAGTATGGTGTGAGTTTGTTTCCTAGAAATTATTTTGTTTTGGTCTGAACATTTCGAGATTAGACAGGGTTATCTCAACATTTTCAATGACCATGATAATTGCACAGGCCAATAGTGACTGATGATTAATTTGGCTTGCAAATTCACAAGGTATGAGTCCTCACTGAAATGTTTAAGACATAATAAGAACAATGCTATGCAGCTCAAATGATGTCCATCAATGTTGCATAATTTTTGCATGCCTTGCAGGTTTTATGATCTGTTGTACCTTTCTATGTTTTCCAGACTCTTGTGAATCCGTTTTACTGTATAGTCGCTCTACTACAGGTGTGTCAATCTTATTTAAACAACATGCTATTAATGCGACTGGTAAGTTTCATGTGGACCACATCACATTTACTATTAAATTTATAATTTGAATTGAGAATGCAGGATTATAGATAGGGCAATTAAAACACAATATGTATTGTTTAGTGAATTCAACAATATATAACTGCTATAGTGTTCAGTAAAAGCAATGATTGTGAACATATGTAATTCTTACACCTGTTTATTCAACTGGCATAATAAGTGTTTACATAAATAACAGAAATGATCTTATATCCAATTTAGGCAAAATGGTTTAACCCTGCAAGGTCCTGAAAGACCATGTCTTGCACTAATATTGGTGCTATGGCAAAATTTATTGGAATAATGAAACCGTTTGAATTGATAACATGAAAAGCAGATTTGGTATAAACAGAGGAAGTGGGCATGTGAGGTATGTAACAATTTTAAAAAAGAACTTTGAAAAATGTTATATTTCAAAATTATATCTTTCATCTCGATCTGCTGCTAATGTCTGTGGTCACTAATATGACACTCAACCACTACACTTTGAAGAATTGTACCATTAAGAATGAAAGATTTGAGTATGGAGACCAGAGATTTTTCTGATCTATCCCTCCACGAAAAATTTTGAAGATAGTGTGAATGCCCAGGTTTAATTTTGAGAAGTTTTTGATAGAAAATATTCTTTGTGAAGTGAAGTTCTTTCGTTCGTGAAGTTCTTTGTGATACATTTCATGCGCCAACATGGCGCATGAAGTGTATCATAAAGAACGTCACGAACGTAATTTATTTATAGGTCCTGAAATTTGAGATATCTAAAATGGGCATGAGAAATAAAGGGAGGTGAACCGAAATAAAAGAACAGAATCGATGACGACAGAGAGAATTGGCCGATCCTCCTCCTTTTGCAAGTGTATTACAGCCGTGCTCCCCCACTGAAAACTACGGTCCTTCGCCACCGTAGTTTTCATCGTTTGCCAGAGCGTAGCTGTCTATACTTACCGGACATTCGAACTGCATCATCCAGAAGTCTTACTCAATTCGAATCAGCGAAAACCTAGTTACCCGTTCGTCAAGACGATCTGAGATATCCTGCCGTCAATCAAAACTCGAACAATCAAGATATTTATCTTCTCGCGCACAATTGTGAACTTTTTCTTTCACGGCTAGAAACCAGTTACAATAGAACTTTTTACACTATATAAAGCCTTATCAAATTTTGTCACTATATAGACACTATAATGAAATTGCTATGTACCATTATATGTACATATGTAGCAGGTAGCCTGGCGTTGCTCGGGCAAAAGTAACGATAGGGAAGATTAACATTATTAGGTTATAGTCAACCTTACCCGTTTTCACAGAATGCAAAAATTGAGTTCCCCTGTTTCCGGACTGATAAGAGAATTTTTAGATGAGTCTAAAAATATCTTCGATTTCCTGCAAAAACAAAAAATACTGCATCTGCATCTTGCACGTCGCATTCTCTTAACAATTCTATTGTTACGTAACATTTCCTTTGTTGATACTTCCATTGTTACTTAAAACTTCCATTGTTACTTAATTAACACTTCTGTGAAAGTCTGAAACCCTTTTCTGTTTTAAAACAGTATAAACCTCGGGATTTTCTCTGTAAAGGGAAAAAGGACAACCTCTGCGGTCAATAACTGAGACACTTTCCCCGAATAAAAAAAAAGAAGGGAATGTTAAAACATCAATGAAGGAAATCTCCTCCAGTTGTCTAAAGGTAATTCTATAAACGTTAATATTAACAAGACGGGAATAAGAAATGGTTCTTGCCCCCTCTTTGGTTGCTCGTGACACGTGGTTAGAGCAATAAATCGACTCGTTCATACTCAAACGCGACGTTTGATATAATCAATATCCAGATCGTTGACCAGTTTACAGAAATTATTGTCAGCTGAATGTTAATTTATGGATGAGAGCCATCAAATCTATAGAAATTTATGTTATAAAATCATATCTTCTAGACACCAATATCAATAAATTAAACAAACTTCTCTGTGTCAGTTGTCCGTACTAGCTAGATCCAAACATCAACACGCTAACAAGTGTGCGTATAAATAATTAATAATGTCATAGTTCTCACCCCTTCAAATTTGGTATAAAGAGGGCTCCAGGACAGTTATTGAGGTGGCCTTCAAAACAACAGGAATTAACCGATCAACTGCCTTTAACATTGACCGCCGACGACGGACAACTAATTAAGAAACAAATATTAATAAGGATCAGACACTCTACTTAGTCGGAAATACGGAAATACGCAAGATACAATCCAGCAAACCAGCAATTGGAATTAAGGTTTGAAATTATTATTATAATAAATCTTGTTATTTGTAATGTTTTACGTAGCATTTGTTAATTAAATTTATATAATATCTTAAACATGTTTGTTTACTCGTACTCGGCCAACAACTTATCGACTTATCCGCGACCTCCCACTCGATTTTCGACCTCCTAAATCGCCATCCACTGACTCTGTAAGCAGGACTCACCGTCCCGTTGTCAGAAAACGGTTTAAGCTTTGAAGCTTAAACCCCGATTCTCACACTTCCATTGTTGATGGAAGTGTTAAGCCTTAATCCTGTCTCTCTCCCCGCGGGGAGGAAATCGAAAAATCCCTTCTTAGTGTGCATTTTCGTGACGTACCCTAACTGTGTACCAAATTTCAACTTTCAACTCTTAAGTGTTTGGGCTCTGCACTTACTATTATTATTATTATCATCAACCCATCTCGATTATATATACAGATATGTGCAATTAGTTTACATAGATAATGGGTATATGTTTACGTTAAATCAGTAATTTAGTGCATTCTTCTAGATACTCTGTCTGTCTGACTCTAATGCGACCGCTTACGTATGCGACTTCTCACGATACAGCAAAACGCTCATGTTAGAACTTCGAAGGTATCGCTTATCCGGTGCCGACCCTTCGGTCAGAGTAGTGTGTGTAGAAATTAAAATATCTCGTTAAGTTTTCATTATCAAAAATTTTTCTGATTGCTTTACTGATACAATTCTCACAATTAGATTTGAAATTTGGAATTTTATCAGCATTGCCAACAGCAGACTACTAACATTTTCAGTACGAAATTAAATAAATACATCCCCTGCAAACGTTTATTACTGAACAGTTGAATAAGAAAATGTAGAATTACATGGTCAGTAAAGTGTATTATAGTTATGGTATTGTGAAGTAATTTAAAATTAAATAAGGTTTTATTATTACAAAAAGAGAGGTTGGTTCCAGGTATACCTAGTTACTACTGAGCCTAATAACAATAAATCAAAGCGTAAAATAACTTGAATTTATAGAAGATTAATATCAGAAGCAAGCAGCGTGTCTTCACAAGGCTTTGAGTCTTATTTTGTTTTAAAAGTTTCTTCGCTGACACTGATTTAATAACCTTTCACGTTTAACCATATTATTGTAGATTTAATGAGTGTAAGACACAAAACAGTACTCGGAGACGTTTTTTGTGACAATGCGCTTTTTTCCAATTTATCATTATGGTGATATTGCTTCATCCAAAACATCTAGTAGTCCTTGTAATGTGAGCATTTTTCACATGTTCAGTGTTCCTGTAGAATCTGCATTCAGTATACCTATGCCACAACTTTTGAAAGTTTCCTTTAAGTACATATTCTTGCTTGACGTTTCTTTTCAACCTGGTTTCAACAGTGTTTATGAGATATTAATTATCATATCTTCTAAAAACTGTTGAAACCAGGTTGAAAAGAGACGTCGAGCAAAAACATGTAATAAATGATACAGTAGAACCTTGATTATCCAGAATAATTGGGGATGAATGTAGTCCGGATAAGGAAAAATCCGGATAATCGCAACAAATACTTTAATTTATCTTTTAATGATAATACAACACGTTTTCTTTTCGATGACATATCGGTAATATTAAAAATAAATACTGTATTTAAATCGTGATCAAATTTTCAAGAAACAAACGTTCGTATTAAATTTGGACTACTACTGACCAGCGCTAAGAGACTAGCTATTGTTTAAACGGCCCTCTGGTGGCTCAAACAGACGGATTTTATAAAATAAAAAGCGGTTGAAACTGCATTTTTATGAATAAAAATTTGACAAACTATTTAACATTTTATGACGAGTAAAATTTTTTCGTCGCGTTCTCGGCTTTTAAGTAATGCGTAAACCTTCGAGGCGCGAGGCCCTTCGGACCGCTAGACATTGGCGGTGGCCCACGTTGCCCATGCCTTACGCCGCCCTTGGTCATAGAAATGATGTAATTTGAATATAAATTATTTATAAATACGTATGTCAAGTTATATTTTAATTACGACGCAAAATATATTTAAGAGTTTACAACTACTGTGCCGGGTGAGACTTTCTTGAAACAAAAAAAGTTATGCATTCCATCACATACATAAACAGTGTCGTAATTCGCCAAGTGCAAATAAGCAAATTTGTAAAATTTTTGTTTAGTTTGAACAATCCGGATAATCGAAAATCCAGATAATGGAGGTCCGGATAATGGAGGTTCTACTGTATTTTTATTGTGTTTCTACTGCTGCTTTTAAGGAGAGTTTTTCTTCAAAAGAAAGAATGAAAACAACTATAATTGGTCATAAATTCTCTAAAATAAGTTTTGAAGTTTTCTGTGTCAATCGTTATTATAATAAACGAATTTAAAATAAAAATATATTGGTTAATTTTTCGAATAACTTCTATTTCTCTTCTTTTGTTGTTATACAGATCTTATCTTTTTCGATATTGTTATTCACGAAACACTATTTTGAAAGAAATTCTGCCATGTTCTGTTCTTGAAAAGTATAGATATTTTTTTCATATTCAGAATTATATTATTTCTATTCAAAAATTACTACAATAGTTGTATATAAATAGAGCAGTTTCGTGTATTGTAACGTATAGAAAGCACTAGAAATTATTTTATAAACACAATTTATTGTGTTTCGTGCTATTGAAAGTAATTCATACGCCGTGCTATTATACAATACCTGGTATTCTTATAATAGATGTTGATTATGATATGAAACGAAACTTCTGACTATTTTCCAAAAGTTAAATTGTTAATATTGGATGTGAGTTAATGCAGTAGACAATAAAATTATTCGCACAATATACTTTATATATCGTATTATTACTAGAATTACATTTATAGATAATTTGTTAAGTAATAAATATCCCCTGGATAACGTTTACAAGCTGTGTTGATAAAACTGAAATATAAGGTATTTTGTAATGTTACTTTATCTGTTGTGAATTTAACAAAAGGAAAAATAACAACACAAAATATTATATGTATATAAGATTTTACCGCAAATATTACAGTGAAACGGTGATCTGTAACATTCCTTCTTATTTGTAATGCTTGACTTTAATTAAATAATAATTATTTTCTTTTAAAACGTAATAAAATAAAATTGTATTCTTCATTATAAAAAATCAACAAAATGAAAAATATATGTATAATTTCACGAAAAAAAAACAAAACAGGGAGTTAAGGAAGTTAAGAAGACAAAAAAAAATTACTAAAATTTAATTACATGTAGATTTGCTAATGTAAGACTGTCTCTTTATTCATTCGTAAACTTTAATACAAAGCTTCTTATTATCCTGTAAGGTATTTTAAGACACACTATAATTTCAATCACAATATTTTAATGCTGAATTATACATAATGTATATAATGAACTTGGTATTTTAACAAAGAGATTTTATCTGTATTTAAACAGTGAGACTATGGTTAAACTCCTATAT